AAATTTAGAAAGGATCTATCACTTATATTCGTAGACAGAGAAACCTATAGACTAATGATTAGCGTGGCCTCGAGTGAGAAAGGACGATAACGTAGTTTTAGGTTATACAATAATCTTTATGACTTTTAAACATATTTAGATAAAAAATTTAATTGTTCTAAGAACTAAACTAAACAAGATTTACCAATCTTAAGCTCACAAAACACTTTTTTTCTCACTGAAACCAACTTGTAAACTCCTTAGATCGCTACGAACTGTCAAAGTTGTCTAGCAAAGTGTAGTTTGCTAAACAACAACAAAACCGGCACGGAGAAAGGGACAAACGATCACACCGCTCTGTCTCATTTCTATGCAAGACGTATGCATAAATCTATCTTTTTCGTGTGCGAATGCGAAAGAAGGAGTCAATTTGTCTATAGGTTTCTCTGTCTACGATTATAACATATTTAAACGACATTACTGACAATAATCCACTCGCGTTACGTTTGACATCCAAAATACTCTAAACAAGAACGATTAAGACCACTAGACTAATGAGGCAGTTATAAGATCCAATAAGTAGTATTATATAATATATAATTATATAAAAGTCAATAATTAGGCCGCAAACCACGAAATTTAAAATCGAGTGCTTATCCCCTTATAATCATATCTTTAACTTTACTGCATCTGCTTAGTTAGTGGGCCCGAGTTGGGCTAAAATCAGTTACTGCTTTTTTTGTCGACAAAATTATTAGTATCAATCCGAAGTTATGAAGTTTGGCAATGCGTCACGCCCATGGTTCTGAAAGTACCGAAAGCAGTTAAGTTAATCCTGCGCTTAATCTTTCTCATATTGCGTTGAACTGCCTTTCCATCAAATTAGAGTGAGGGAATAGAGAGCACGTCTGTACTTGCGAACACAGCACACCCTTGCACTATAACCCTGTCCTGCGCAGATGTCTATTCTCCGTTGATATCAGCCGCCAAGACTAAGGAAACCATTACGCTAAATTATTTTAATCTAATACTAGCTATACGACTGCGGCGTTGTCGTCACGTCACAAGCGAAACACCGAAGCCTAAATCGCACTATCAAAGTTCCAAAGTTACTGCGCTTTAGATAGAACAGCTCCAAAAAACATAGACCGGGACGTTGACTGCTCCACGTGCAGAACGCCTTGCCTGGCAGGAGATCTCCCTTTCATTTCTACGGCCGAACTGGTGACCCCGACGTAATGTGAACAAGCAACCAACAACCTTCGGAAACCTTTAATTAAATAAAAAATTTAAACTTTTAAAGTTGACATGCTGCAAAAAAATATAAAAAACGACACAACAAAAAGAAATAAAAGAAATAGACTTTCAGACTTAATGCTCCAATATAACCTTCATCAACAAATTCACAGTCCAACACGTGTCACTAAAACAACTTCAACATGCTTAGACTTAATTTATCTAAACTTTAGCGATACAAACCTACAAACAACTGTGCAAGAATTGGGCCTGTCTGATCATAGGGCCACAATAATTCATCTAAATCTTTTTAAACAAAATAAACAAAAAATATGGTACACCGAAAAAAGACAATACAACAAAAACAATATAGCAAATTTTAAACTTGCATTAGAGTCGCTTAATTGGGAAAATATACTTAATAAAAATAAAGGCATAAACTATGACTATAATATATTTCATCAAACTTTAATTAACATTCTAGATAATTGTATACCAAAAAAAGTAATAAAAATAAAAAACAACTACAAAAAACAATGGCTTACCGTTGGTATAAAAAAGTCTTGTTATAACAAAAGATTACTTAAATCGCACGTTATAAGGTCAAATAATAAAATTCTTACAGATTATTATAAGAAATACGAAAAAATATTAAAAAGGGTTATAACAACGTCAAAAAAATTGCACTATATAAACAAGATAAAGCAGTCTAACAATAAAATAAAAACAATGTGGCATATTGTTCGAGAACGCACAAACAAAATAAACTTAAAGGTAAAATCGAATATTAAATTAAATATCAACAACCAAATTTCTTCTAACCCAAAACAGATCGCCGATAAATTTAATAATTACTTCACCAATATCGGTGAAACAGTTCATCCACAAGCAAAGGGTCTTCCTGTTCTACATCCATCAGAAAACTCAATATTTATAGGCAGAGTAGGATTTGAAGAAATACTTAAAATGTTAAATAGTCTAAAAAATAAACTAAGCCATGGTGTTGATGAGATTCCGCCAACATTGTTCAAACAATGTGCAAGCGCTTTAGTATATCCACTAACATTATTAGTAAACCAATCTTTTGAAGAAGGCGTATTCCCAGATATACTAAAACTTTCACTAGTAAAACCCATCTACAAAAAAGGTACACAAACGGACCCAGGCAACTATCGACCTATCGCCTTATTGCCCACAGCCTCTAAAATATTTGAAAAAGCATTATACGACCGTATCTATAAATTCTGTGAAAAATATAATATATTTAATGAAAGTCAAAACGGTTTCCGCAAAAACAAATCAACAGTTCTAGCAATTTATAATTACATTCAAAAAATACAAAATATAATTAACGATAAAAAATATGCTATAGGAATCCTATTAGATATGTCAAAAGCATACGATACAGTGCAATATAACATATTACTAAATAAATTATATGACATAGGAATCAGAGGCCCGTGCTACAATCTGCTAAAATCATATTTACACAATAGAACGCAAATAGTAGAAATTGAGTACTTTAATGACAAATTGCACAAAATTGAAAAAAATTAGATCCGATACTAAAACTATTAATGCCTCAATACCTCAAGGCAGTGTGCTGGGGTGTCTTATGTTTTTAATTTACATTAATGACTTTGCAGAGGCTCTCAAGGAATACTGTATCATGTTTGCGGACGATATTTCTATTCTTATATCAAGCCAAAGTCCAATGAATGTAACAGAAAAAATTAAAAGTATTTTATTTAGAACAACGGACTGGTTAACTAAACATAACCTGCGGATAAACTTATCAAAAACTAAAATAATGTCTTTTCACCCATATCAAAAACCAAAATTGGATATAAAAATAGATAATGACGGCTTCACTATAGATACAGTTAACGAGCACAACCTACTAGGCCTAATAATAGATACCCATATTACTTGGAAACCACATATAGAAAAATTACATAGGAAGTTAAGCAGCTTTATGTACGCGTTACGAGAAGTAAAAAAAACAACAGATGTAACCACCGCGATAACAACCTACTACGCGTATGCATATGCATGGCTCAGCTACGGCATTGTCCTATGGGGATGCAGTACTGAGGCCTCAAGTTTATTAACTAAACAAAAAAAACTAATACGGATCATTGCTAATCTACAAAACACAGAAAGCTGTAAGCCTTACTTTAAGAAGTATAACATTTTAAGTCTGCCCTGTATCTATATTTTGGAACTATGCAAATTTGTCCAAAAACATCCAAGCTTGTACACAAAACGCGATGACATCATATCTAGAAATCTAAGACAGAGAAACAAACTAGTGCTACCAACTTCAAAACTAAAATCTCATTCATCCAGCCCATTTGCCATGTCTATAAAAGTTTATAATAAATTACCCGAATATATAAAAAACATTAAGAACGAAAAACCATTTGAAAAAAAATTAAAGCAACTACTTATAAACAAGTGTTACTATAGTACTTCTGAATTTTTAGAAGATAAAAATATAATATAATATAGATATAAATATAAATGTTAGGTAATAAGGAAATGCCATTCTACTAAATAAATTACAATAAAAAATTATAATAAAATTTAAAATGATTCAAATAATTTAATAAAAATTCAATTATGCTACCTATAATAATATATTAAATGTCAAAATCAATTAATAAATAATAACAATTATAATAGCCGTATTCCATATTCAATGTGTGTATGTTTATATAATATAATGAATGTGAATATTAAATAATTATTTAGCAATAATAATAATAAAACGAAATAAATGTTACTCCTTCATAATATTTCTGTGCCCATGAGAGTCTATAGAGATACCATAACTATGTAACACCTTTTGTAACCTATGGAATGCAATAAAGTTATTGAGTATTGAGTATTGAGTACCTCAACTTCAAGCTTACGTCATCGTTCTCAAGTACACCCTCGCGCAGATATTTTTGTAGTGTTTAGATCCTGCAAGCCATCTCTGACTTTACAAGGTTCATCGCAGCGTTGGAATAACTTTTCCTGATCCTTCAAGCTACTCTCTGCGCTACAGTGCTCGTCACGGCCCTGAGCCTTACTGCTCGTCTCTACTTCACGGCACTCTCGCAGATTACTTGCCTTCTTCTCGATTCACCGTAGAACACAAAGCAACCCCTGGCACTTGCACATTCGTCGACAACTATACTGCACCATCGATCTTCGGCTTCGGTGTGAGCAGGGGGGTAAATGGGCGGCGCTGTAGTCGCGCCACAAGCGAAACAAGCTAAAGCCTAAATCGCGCTATCATAGTTCCGAAGTTATAGCGCTATATATAGAACAACTCCGTTACAGCACACGGAGCGTTGCCCGCTCCCCGAACAGATCACCGTGCCCGGCGGGAGTTATCCCATTTTTTTTCCATGCCAAATTTTGACAACTCACTAAAGTTTCATTGCAATGATGAATAGTATTCATCCTTGAATAGTATAAACTACGAGTATATTATTTTACAAAAGATTTTACTTTATTTTTATTTCTAATGATCGTGTTAAATAAAACAAAATTAAAATAGAATAAATTTTATTTTCCTTACTTCTACATGAAAGACTAGCTTACAACTAATTTGTAACTTACAACTGCGATTTTTTTAATGTACAGACAATTATAAATAACTTTTAATCTTAACTAAAACTGTCAAGGTTATTTTGACAATGAAAATGTGAAATTATTATACAGCTGGTCATCACTCTGTTAGTAGTAATCAGTAATTATAAAACGGAAAATGAGGGTAACACTCATCAGCGAGCTTAGAAGTCAATTTCGTAAGGGCGTTGTGGGCGTCTCTGGACTAGAGGTATATTGACTTCCTCAGCAGATCGGAACACTTGAGGTTGATGCTGCGGCTGCTGTGGTCTCGGTGATGGGTGATGCTGCGGAGGGTGAGTGCGGTGAGATTGTTCCTCCTGGAGTGAAAGTTTTACCCATTTGTGAAAACGTATAATAGGCTTACTTTGATAATTACATTGTATACCATTTAGTGTTAATTAATAGCTGTTAGTTTTACTATTATATATAAGAAAATTTCATATATGTCGATAAAATAAAATCTATTTCCGTTAATTTTATAATTAACAAAAGGAGTTAATTAAACATTTAATAATATATATAAGCTTTCGCTGTTTGATGAATCTCTAACTATTAAAAAGCTGGCAAATCGAAAATCCCCATTTGATGCGTGAGAACCGGTAACAGTAACTACCTAAAATTAATTATTTCATATTTAATATCCCATATTACACGGAACAATTATAGCCCCATTCGAATTGTTGGGGATTCTAACCGTCCAAAGTTATTTGGAGTTACTAAAAAACGATCCCCCAAAGATGACAGAGGAGTTAAAGTACTTGGAGTAGCAAACAGCAACATCCTCTATAATAAAGCAGATTACAAACGCAAATTCTTACAAAGGATCCTTCCTTTGTAAGAATTTCCTCATGTCAAAGAGAAAAGACATTCTACATAATTGACAGTTTCAAAGTATTCACATCGGCTGCGTTTGGCGGAAAAAAGCGCTAGCAAGCGTTTGTAAGCAAAATGGCGACCGGAAGCGGTAAGCGCTGTCAATTCGTAAGTAGCTTTTTTCCTCTAGAACACGAAGTTGGTTTTACCGGGGAACCTAACCTAATTTAAATATATGTTTGTAAAGTATTCATATTAAAAACTTACCAATCATGAATTTTTAATAACATGTATATGTTTATTCATGTCATTACATTACTTAAAACTAATATTGCACAAAACAACTTATAAACTCTACTCAAAACAAATAAATTAAATAAGCAAAATGGCGGATTGTGTCAGCGCTACTGAAGTTAGCAAACGTATGCTGACCGAAAACTGTTTAGTTTCGACATTTTGCTTACAAGCGCTTGCTAGCACTTTTTTCTGCCACACGCACCCATTGTGACAATTCGGTCAAAATTGACCAGGACGTTCGTTTAACTGACCTCTTCTTCCTCCTGGTCCTGATTGTATCTGTCGTCCCTGTACACTTCAGCTGGATAGAATCGGTCGGAGTACTTGAGGATCACGCTGGGCTTGCGCATGTGCTCTTCCTCGTTAATCGGTCGGTACAGGTAATCGTTCACGAAGTGATACTTGGATGACCTCTGGCAGATGTTTTCTTGTGTTGACGGCATACAGATTAAATGGACCTAATGGAATTAAATGGAATTGAATGGAAAAATAGCTTATTTTAAATATTAATTTGACAAACGAACTTACACCTTAATAATAATAATAATAACAGAAAGGCATTCGACTAGGTGCCCCATACATGGCTAAAGAGAGTCCTCGAGCTGTAGAAGATAGACTGTACAGTTAGAGACTTCCTTGAGCAGTGTATGGGGCAGTGGAGAACGATCCTTTGTCATCTGAGCGAGCGGATGATTGCTGCGGAGACCCACATAAGGATAAGAAGGAGTAGCTTCCAGGGCGATTGTCTGAGTCCAATCTGGTTCTGCCTCTCTCTGAACCCTGTCAGTACCTTACTGGAGGGCTCCCTGAGGGGGATTTCAGCTACGGAAAGGAGGGACAAAAGTGACCCACCTTTTCTATATGGATGACCTCAAGTTATTCGTCTCCAGTCGCTCCCATCTTATGGAATTGCTAAACATCACTTATGAATTTAGCAATTCTATTGGAATGGAGCTGGGGAAGGATAAGTGTGCGGTCCTCCATGTTGAAAGGGGAAGGGTTGCTAACTCTGAGGGCATAGACTTATCTATGCCCGTCAATTTAAGGACCCTTTCCGAGTCTGAAACATACCGATACCTAAGTATGTCACAGATCATCGGTATCGATGAGGCTGGTATGAAACAGTCAGTTTGCGACGTGTTTCATGCACGCTTGACCAAAGTGCTTAACAGCCTTTTATCCGGTGTGAATAAGACACGCGCATATAACGGTTGGGTCATGTCCTGGGTATGTAAGGGCATGTAAACCTTTGGCATACTCAGTTGGACTCAGACTGAACTTAACGCCCTGGATAGAAAAGTCCACACAACCATGACGTCCCATAGGATGCATCATCCGAGATCGTCAGTAATGAGGTTGTACTTGCCGCGAAAGCATGGTGGGCGTGGCTTCCTGAGCGCGCTCACCATGCACAATCGCGAAGTGTGCAGCCTCCGTAATTACTTCCTGGCGAGATCGGATGATCCATTCTATAATGACGTCATTTCTTGTGATAAAGGACTTAACTCTCTATCCTTAGCCAACGAGCAATGGCAAGACCCGGCAGTGCAGAGCATTTCCGACCGGGAGACCATATGGAAGAAGAAGGAGCTCCACGGGAGGTTCTACAAGGCTCTACATGAGCCTTTCGTAGACACAGTAGCCTCCCTCCAATGGCTACGCTTTGGTGACCTCTTCGGGGAAACCGAGGGTTTTGTCTGTGCAATACAGGATCTGGTTATTAAGACCAACAACCATCGGAGATACATCCTAAAGGATGGCACCGTGGACATCTGTCGAGCTTGTCGCCATCCCGGTGAGTCACTTAGGCATGTCATCTCCGGTTGTTCGGCGCTTTCTAACTCTGAGTACTTGCACAGGCACAACCTAGTAGCCAGAATTCTTCACCAGGAGCTCGCTCTGAAATACGGTCTCGTGGATCGGAAATTGCCGTATTACAAGTACTTGCCGGAGCCGTGCTCGAAAATAATCGCGCCAGGCTCCATTGGGACCGGGCCATCATCACAGACAGGACTATTCTTGCGAATAAGCCTGATATTGTGCTGATGGACCGGGCACAGTCAAGGATATTTTTGGTCGACATTACCATTCCGTATGACGAGAACCTCGTGAAAGCCGAAACAGACAAGCAAACAAAATATCTGGACCTGGCTCACGAGGTGACTGACATGTGGGGTGGTCTGCCGACCGAAATTATTCCTGTAGTCGTCTCTGCAAACGGGCTAATCCCAGTCAGCCTCTCGGGTCATCTGAGGCGACTGGGACTACGTGGCGGACCGCTCCGGGCTCAAATGCAGAAGGCGGTGCTCCTCGATACCGCCCGCATCGTCCGCCGGTTTATTTCCCTTTCCCCCTAACCCTCGGCCGTTTGGTCTCCCCTGCCGAGGGCGTCCATCTGGTTGGGCTTTTATTTATTTATGTATTTTTATATTTATTTAATTTTATTGATATTTATGTAAATTTATCTTTTCATTTCCATTTATAATTATATATTTATAGAACCCAACCAGATGAGAACTTAAAAATAATAATAATAATATCCTCCAGACCGGATTTCGGCCACGGCGGACTGCCTCAACGGAGGCTAGCCATCGGCGCAGGACAGGATTATAGTACCCAAGTGTATGTGCAAGCACAGGTGCACTCTCTATTCCTTAACTCTCATAATCCGATGGGACGGTAAACCGACACGACCGGAGAGAGATCACGCGCAGGACCAACGGCTTTACGTGCTTTCCGAGGCACGGGGGTGAGACACTGTCAACTTCCTGACTCCGGGCAACTACTGAGAATTTCTTGACGGAAAAACTCAATAATTAATTTTTTGGCCCGATTCAGGATTCGAACCCAGGACCTCATGATCAGCAGTCGCACTACTACAACCACTAGACCAACGAGGCAGCCACACTTACACCTTATGCAATCCAGCAACATCAAACAAAGAAGGTAACCTGTTGTGATCTCTGAGGAATAATATAGAATACCTCACAGCCTATAATTATACTGGCTTTTTACACCCTTCAGACTGGAACACGGCAGTGCAAGCACTACTGTTTGGCTGCAGGAATAGGTAAGAGGGTGATTTCTACTCAACAAATAGGTCGGTTCAACCAGGTAAGGATCACGTTCCCGTAGAACATCATCATCACCAAGTCCATCGCTGAACATAAGCCTCCCCCAAGGAATGCCACAAAGCACGATCCTTAGCCACCTGCATCTATCGACTTCCTGCATGTATTACCAGGTCGCTACTCCATCTAGTGGTGGGTCGACCTACACTACGCCTACCGGTACGAGGCTGCCACTCGAGAACCTGTTTTTCCCCATCGGCTGTTGGTTCTTCGAGCTATATGGCCGGCCCATTGCCACTTTAGCTTACTAATCCGTTGGGCTATGTTGGTCACTCTGGTTCTACTGTGGGTATCCTCAAAGTTTATCACGCAGAGAACCACCGAGCATAACCCTCTCCATAGCTCGCTGAATGATCTGGAACTTCTTCTTACGGCCAGCAGTGAATATAGCAGCACCTTCCTGTATTATTTATTGTACAATAAGAAAACTGCGGTTGCCAACCCGCTCGCCAAGCGTGGCAACTATGGTATTAATAAATTATACATTTTCATTAAAGTGTAAATATTAACTCGATTTATAAATACGCTCGCTCTACGTAGCTTCTCTTTGCATACAAAGATTGATGTAATCTCTCGAGGTAATGATAAAAGACACGGGGCAACTATAAAAATGCATTCAAAACTATATGTATTAGAAAATAATATTTTAGATTTATTCATTTTTCCCCATAATGAGAGTTACGAAGAGACGGCCCTACAGAACACTAGCATGAAATAGCAGCGTAATGCTGTGTTTCGTATAGTGAATGACGTATATCGGAGACCCTTTTCATTGGTAACAAGGCATTGCATCTTAGTCCTCAGGTGTGACAACGCATCTGCATTTTGATTCTTAATCGATGATATTGGCATATGCTCGCTTGTTACCCTTTCTTCTATATAATAATGAAAATATTCTCTTTAAGGTTTTGCGTTACTAACCTGGTGGAAGCTGAAACCTTCGGGACAGATCCAAGAGTGTTTGATATTATCATTACAGTAATGGAACACTTCACAGTTGAGTTCCTCGTCTGCGTAATATCCAGACTGTTTGTTCACGCAGTCGAACTTGGACTGTTGCAAGAGTTGTGACAGACGGTCAGGCTCCTCCTTTTCCTCCTCTTCTTCCAGTTCTTGCAGTTGTTGCTGCTGGTATTTAACTGGATGTTGCTCTTGTTGCTGTAAACAAACCGTTAATACTTTTATAACTCGGATTTGAATGTATTCATTTATTTATTAATATATATGTAATTATTTATTAATATATATGTAAATATGTAACTGAATAAAATTTGTATGGATTTAATATTTAACTGGGTGTTATTCTTTTTGCTGAAAACAAATCGATTATATTTATAGCTCAGATTTGTAAGTATTAATTAATTAATATATTTGACAGTTATTTAACTGGATTTTACTTATGTGTTTTAAAAATGCGCAATTCTGATTTTATATCCATACCAACACCATTTGTAAATACGAATATGAAAAAAACCAATATAAAAAATAACAAATACCAAAAGCGCAAGTAGGTAATCTTATATAATTACTCTCGAGCTCATGGTACATGAAGGTTAGAGAACAGGAGAACGATCGCCGTAGAAAATAGTGTCCCAGATATATGGACACCATAAGTGAAGCGCTGCGATCACTGAGTTCGCCCAATAAAAATCATTTTCGGTCTATTTTTCCGATCAGATGCTAAACCACTTGCACATATATACGCACAATAAAATATTTCTCCATTTTTTAATGTTTCTTTTTGTCAAAAATTACAAAATTACGGAGCATGAAAATTTTCTCATTAAAAATGAAATGAAAATTTGTACATTATTCAACTAACTTCAACTACTTGTACTCGTAAACAGCTAACTTTGCAGTCACTACTCACCGACGTCAGCTCCGCTATATATTCTACAATTTTCAAGGATAGGCGGTCTATGCTTTAGTACGTACTATAGTGATCGTTCTCCTGTTATCTAACCTCCTTAGGTCATGGTATACGCAAAAAAAAAACGAGGAAACAGATTTATAATTGCGTCATTCTAATCTTATTTATAATTACAAACCTACACTATTTAGCATACAAATATGTAGGAAGAAAAACACAGGTACCAAAACCGCAAGTAATTTCATATAATTACTTTTGAGTAGTGAATGAATCACGCCACGATTGTTTACAACTATTCATTCAACCATGCGTGAAAAAATCTATGACCGTTACGATACCTGTGTTAATAATTTTTTCCGACTACCGCGGTTTAAGTGAAAGTTAAACGAATCTATTTGATTCGATCTTTTATCGATTTTAATTCAATTGGAATCGTTAATTAATTTAAATATTCCGTTTTAAGTTTGTTTAACAAAACATTTGGCAACATTAACGACAAGAATAAATTTTTATTTAATTTTATTTAATTACACAAATATTTTAATATACGTATAACACGGCTGGGTATGAGCATCCACTATCCCATATCATCCCGCGAGTGTCGTAAAAGGTGACAGAGGCTATTGAAAACGGAGATGGGCATTGCGCCCTCCTTTCTGCCAAGGAGGGTCGCGTTCGTATACGGCTTAGAGATCTCTAGTCAGATCGTTAAGCCAATTCCCAAAAGGTTGAGTTTAGTGGGTAAAAGTCTCCACATAACCACGCAGCCGGCTGCGTGGTATGCTATGAGCATTCTCAACCTCCCTCCCCCCGCTTTCCGGAGGGTTGCCCATATTTGCTTCGGGCGCAAAAAAAAAAAAAAGATGGGCATTAGCACTTTCTCACAGCGAGCATGGTTATACTATGGCATTTAGCTGAAAGTAATTCTAGTTGCAAAAAGTCAAATGCTCAATAATAATTAACTTTTGATTTTATAAAACTTTAACACCGAAATGCCGTATTACTTTTAGTTTCACTACTTATGACAAAGAACATACCTTCCTGTGTGGTGCTCTAGGTGGCGCTCTTTGTTCTTCATACTGAGGCCTGGTGGGAACCACTACATACTCTTCCTCCTGTGGTCGCTGTTGATAGCCGGCCAGCTCGGCCAGCGATTGCGTGGGCCTGAATCCGCTGGGCAACGCGTTGGGATATGCTGCTGGCGTGTAAGCGCGCGGACGAAGATTGCGTGTCTCCTGGAAATGAGCTGTTATGTGTATCCTGTATTGTGATTATGTATAATATTCATATTGTGGTGACGTTTTAAATACATAGATAAGACTTATTTCTGCCTAGGGTCCCGTATGGTTGGCCTCTTACACGTTTCTGGAACATTGACCCATCCGGTTACAACTGCAACAGCTGAAAGTATTTCGAAATATAAACAGATAAAAACTACGTAAGGACTTCTATGGGACAGGAAAAAGGCTATCAGACTTGTCACTATTGTATATACTTATAATAGGTAAAAAATTTAGAAAAACTGATATCGTCTTCAGCTATGAACGATTTAATAAATAAATTTTCCGAACGAAATACAATAAAAGTAGGTATATATTTGATTTGAATTGTTTAGCTAGTTTTTTTTATAAGTGTATTAAATTGTGAGTAATAAGTAAGTAATAACTTATAATCAATATATAATTATTTTAGTTAACTACGAGCGTTTTTGTTACATTTGTGAAGAATATTTACCCTTAATTTGCCCCCTAACAAATTTTGATACATGGCCCGTCTAAGGCACGCTACGCTACTGCTAGAGTCATCATATTATGATAATTAAACCAGATATTTTATACGTGGTACAAGTAGGCTACCTTGGGCTTGGGGAAGGACCAAACTCGCACAAAATACTGCTTACTACGTGAAATAGCACCATTGCGCTGTTGTGTTTCGTATGGTGATTGATAAGAACGGGTCACACTTTTAACTGGTAAATAATGGGGCATTCAATTTTAGTCCTAAGAGGTCACGACGCATCTGGTGTCTGTGGGCCAAAGCACCGACAGCATTAGTCGAGTTTTGTATTCGTTCATTATCTTCGCCTTTAAGTTTATTTTAAAAATTAAATGCTAATAATTTTGTTAGATCACCAGCATACTCTGGAAGAGTTGAAGCATGATAAAATAAGCCTTTGATATAAAACTATATCTAGCAACACGATTGCAACAATAGGAGATATCGTAACGACATCTCAGACTAATTATTGTTTGGTCAAAGTACGACGAGAGCAACGCCTAGCATTTTAAATCGTTACCTAATTACATTTCACCTTGAATTAACTGTTTCAAAATACCGTAGGCGCCGAATAGGGTTGTCAAACGCACTAACTCTGTTTGTCTATACTGCCAGACCTTTTCTAATTTCCCATAAAGAGAAAATTTGACGAAACCACCAAGATTTTCCACAAAGGTAGTCAGATCATGGTGGTACTGATTATTATCTGATGTTTACGCGGGAGTACCGCGTTAACATCAGATAAGCAACAATCGGTAAATGTAGTAATATCGTGGAGTAATGATAGCTAACTCTAAATATGGTGAGGGTAATATGATCATCCGGTTAATATGGTCACATTCTTGAACTCAAAAACTACAACTTTGTTTGCATATATAGCTCTTTGATATGATAGCTCTTCATCAGTCAATCAAATAATAAAAGGTCAAAAGAGCGATGCTTTCTCGACGCCATTTTGACAGTTGATATTATAGTAAATATTTTGGTCGATTTTAGTATTGTGTAGTGTAGTTAATTTTTTACGTTGATTTTTCGAAGTGTTCGTAATTATTGCTAAAGCTTGTTTACTATTTTTTTAATATATTAGTCATATTATACGACCTTGTGTTTTTGTCTCTGCTCTCCTTTAGTATTACTTGTTATTATTACTGAGATCATACTGTATCCTATACCCTGGGTATTTATTATTTATAATCAGCGTGCCGGGTACTTATATAATAGCGGCTCTTCTTCTTATTTATCACCAGGACGTAAAAGTCTACTAATGAACATGGGCTTCACACTTAGTAGTTGGCAGGCAGACGCAGATTGACGAGCGCGGTACCAGACGTCTCGCTCTTTTTCTGCTGCCCATTGTCGATTTGGGTATTTAATGTCCAGCCTTAGTACGTTAAAAGTCTTTTCTGGCGTATCTCATCGTCGTCGCTTACGACACCCATGGGACAAAACGGGTCGATGGATTATCTTAGACCGCCAGCACACGGCCTCATTTAATTTCTTGTATTCAAGTTGTGCAATAATTAAGCAACGTTGTTGCAGGGACGAGTTGCAGTGCTGCTGACAATTAGTTGGCAAATTGCCGCTCAGCGAACGTACTCGGTTTAGTAACAATTGATAAATGTAGTAATAGCGTGGAGTAACTGAAATAATATTTCCATCAAAAATAATATTGTATATTTCTTAAAGATAAGAATATTATAATATTAAAAAAAATCTCTCGCCTAACAAAATTGATTCAATCTTCAAATTTGTTTTTGATAACAGTACATACTAATAAAATAACTACAAAATTACTTCCATAGACAATATTTTGACGCACTGCCGCTGCGTGGAGAAAAGGCATCAATATTGTTTTTGTAAGCTTATCATAATTTAAAGATTAATAAATTAGAGAACATAGAATAAAAATTAAGATTTTAAATTAAAGTAATATTAAAGTAATTTAAATAAGTAATTAGGTGATAAAAACCATAAAAACTGCATCAAGAATAAAAAAATCTCATTATTTGAAATTTGTTACTAAGTTTTAAATGAAACTGAAGTACATGAAACGTTTATGTTCAATATTATTTGCTTTTATTTTAGGTTTGTTATAGAATCATTCTATAAAAAAATTGTTAGTGAAAGCGATAATAGTTTTAGTAGCTTGCTACACATCTCTTAATCTGTGATTTGATCTACATAAAGTTGGCAGCCCTGGCACTGACTGCTTAAGCTACGAGCTGTGCGAATGATTATTATAAGTAATATGCTAACGTGTGTGATACCGACGTAAGAAGAGTCACCCTATCTTGTCTCGTGGGCGTCAGATGAAATCGACAAATTACGAAAAAAGTATGAGCGTGAGTGTGGATGGACCCAATGGATGCTATAACCGTCTTGACTTGCATTTATGACCGCCGTTTACTACTGCATAAAGTTCCGATCGGAGAGATCGATAGTGTTATTTAAGGTTATTGATTGCCGGTTATTGTCCGATTTAACCGTCATTGTGACTAAATAGTAATTATTATAGTATACACTTTGATTGTGACGAGAAAACAGCACTACAACACAATTAACATGGTATGGCAACCGAATGTATGGTTACTTTCGATGCAACCAGGTGTATTTTTGGTACAAATAAGAATTCCTAAGCAAAATGTTTGCATTATGTTTGTTGGAGTTTGTTAACTTTCAAAAGTCCGTAGTTTATTTCCTTACCCTTATTAACAATCTTCACTGATAAACGGCATATGAGAAATTTTAAAAGTTTCGCCTTTTTTATAGGATAGAGTGACAAACGAGCACACAATCTACCTGATGGTAAGTGGTTGCTATAGCCCATAAACATCTACATCTATACTCGATTACGAATCAAAATGCAGCTGCGTTATCACCCCTGAGTTCCAAGATGGAATGCCTCGATTCCAGTAAAGTTGATCTCCGGTTCTCTACACTCACCATATGAAACACAGCAACATTAAGCTACTATTTCACGCTGGTATTCAGTGAGAGCGTGGTCCCTCCCCGGTCGAGCCGACCCATTCGTGCTACAACTATGATGAGGGTAATATGGGTCGTCACTTTCATAAAAGCTTATAACTCAAAAACTACAGCCTTGTTTGCATAGGTGGCTTTGTGTTGTGATAGCTATTCATCGTTCAATCAAATAATAAAGGGCCAAAAGGACGCTGCTTTATCGACGCCACTTTGACGGTTAACATTATAGAAAATATTTATGTCGATTTTAGTATGGTATAGTGTAGTTAGTTTTTTTAAGTAGATTTTTCGAAGTGTTCCTAATTATTGCCAAAGCTTTTATAGTATATAAATTTGTGTTTTTTGGCTCTGTCCTTCTCCTAATTTTGGTTTTATAGGGCGGCAAAGATTACGGTGACCATATTACCATCTCGTATCTTATACTTTTAATATAGCTGCAGCATGCATTAATTTGGCGTTATATTGATTTAAAATAATCATCATAGACCATTTATTTTGTCAATTTTTTTCGATTTACTAAAAAAATCTCCGTTTTTTGAATAAAATGTAGCCTACGTCTCTATATTTTATATAAAAAGCAGATTTCTCCTTAATACTGACATCGCTCTCTACCTGTTCGTGATGTTTCATTACAAAAGGTTAAGCCATTTCGAAGATTAGACCGGCTAGACATACAAAATTTTTAAAAATAGTTATTCGTGTTTTAACGACATGCAAATTAACCCCTTGAGCGCAATACAGGGCATTTATTTCGATATTAATGACAGATACTTCAATTTCATTTTTATTAATAGATACACTAAGTCCATTTTGGTGACGAAATAAGAATCTGAAGTCTTTAACTTTAAGCTCTATATAGTTTTGATGTTATCATAATAAAATTTGATTAAATAAAAAAATGAAACAAAAAACCTAAAATTTTTTTATACACAGGTTTTAAATTCCAGTTGCTTCGATATACAATTAACGAAGTCTTGAATTAAATCATCTTACATATATATATAAAGAAGTGATCGGAAGATAATAAGCGGAATTGCTATTGACGGCGTAGTGTTGTAACCATATTATGTTATTCGTGTAATGATCGATAATCAATATCTACACGTTTCCGGTGTTAACAACCGCTTTCGTATTTATAATAAGACGAATTAATTGTACGAAAAAAAGATCCGTCAGGGCGCAAATTCGCTCGTGCGTCACTACAATAGTATTCAACGTTTTATGTTACTACTTTATTATATTATATATTATCTAGTGCGATTATAATAGGTTAGCAATAAATATAACTAAATATTGGATAGAAAATATATTTTACCGTCGCGTGGTGAAGGTGTCAATAAGAAACGACTATCGGAAATGGCAGGAAGATTCCATGGTTTTAGAGAGATGGTGGTACAGCCATCTCCTACATCTTGGCCAGGGGTAAAAGATCCAGATCGAGGACGTGGAGTAACACAAGCATAACTTCGCTACAGTC